TCAAGTTTCCTTTAATGTTCATGTTATTAATGATTTTCCAGTAAACTATGCAAATGTGTTGTGTTGTGTAAAAAATAATTAGAAATACACAAATTAAATTTTTTTTCTTATACCAGTCATGTTTACCAACTGTTGTCCCAGTTTGTACCTTAATATTTGATAATAATACATGTATTACCAAAAATTTAAATTTTTACATGCATAAAAACATGTCAAAAAAGCAAATAAAATTCATATTGGTATGTAACAGTGCTAAATATATGTAATTTGTAACCTCTCCCAGTGGCCATATTTTCTTACTTATGCCATTTTTAAGTTCATTTAAATGTAAAGTAAGTACCTACATTACATTTTTATAAATGATATTTAATAATTCCCTAAATTATATAGATTTGGCACTGAACTTAGTTATAATGTAAATTATTCACATGTATTGAATCTAAACATACTTAATTATCTATATGTAATTAAAATTAATGTATAAGGGATATGTGTAAAGAGAAATTAGTTTTATTTTAAGGAAAATGTTGTGATATTTGTATTTGGAATATTCATAATGTTTTATGAATTCTTAATACTTCATATTTTTTACAGAGAATGTTCATACTAGTAATAGTCCGTTCATTATTGCATGTAAATTGTACAAAAAATAAGAAACTGAAATATATATTGTGCAATTATAATGTTAATATCTTGATTAATTAACATTAGTATATTACTGCTTTAACTTTGTTTAAAAATTCTCGAATACATTTATGGTAACATTAAAAAGACAATTTTCAGTGATCAAGTTTATAACCATATTTTCCCAAGTGATGTTAATGATCTCATGGTTTTTTTTTTCACTTTACCGCTTATCTTTGGAAGGTTTAGATAAATTACTAAGAAATAATACTTAATGTTATAGCAAAACTTTGGGACAAAAACATTTTTCCATTTATAACAACTTTTCTTATTGTTTATTTTCACATTCACTGTCTTCTATTTTTATTCTAATACACACAATATATATAACTAAAATAAATTGTCTTATAATATTCCATTTACAAAGTAATATAAGATTAGATATATTCTATAGATACTAAGTCCGCGTAAAATTCACCCGTCTCTTTAAATTTTATATTATTGACTTAGAAATATACTTATTTATCAATCTTTTGTAATAACTAATTTCAATATGAATGGGGAAAGCAAAAAAATGGCATTATTATTTTCGTAACATTTATTAGACACAAAAATTATATCCATTTGAACAAACAATTTTTCAAAACAACTCAAGGCAGGTACCTATTTGCTAAATCGTAATATTTCTCAAAGGCCTCTAAAAGTATTTCTTTACTTTCAAATTGTTAGACATATTTATAGAAACAGGTTAAAATAAAATAGAAGAACTGTAATAAAAGTAAGAAAATTTAAAGATCTATAATGTATCACACCCATTTTGATCTAAATTATTGATTTGTCGGAAAAATAACTAACAAACCACTATGAAGGTTCAAACTTATTAAAGTGTTATATTGAAATGCATAAACAATGGAACTTTCATGCTGTTGTTATATTATGTTACAGCAAAAGAAAATTCATATTGTAGAATTTTTAAAATTGGTAACTAATAGAAATAACAACTGGCCTTTTAAATCCACTTATTAATCTGGATTTACATATTCTTTTGAGATCACTTATTTGGTCGATTATGTTGAGATAATATAAGTACCATATCTTAAGTAATATAATTTATTACAGCAATCGAAACATGGGAATGCAGCACATTTTTCAATTTGGTAGCTTGACTCCAATTATAATATTTCACAATTTCCTATACAACAAGCAACATGCAGAACGTAAATAAATGCTTGTTTTTCATGAGGAGGAATAGATTTCTACCATAACATAATATACATTGGCAAAACATAATAAATTCAGACAATGTAATATCAGACTTGTCTGTGTTAATAAATGCATCCAATTTAATATTTATCTGAATCGAAAATATATTAAAATATTTTACATGCTGTAATGCATAAAAAACTATATATTACACTCCATCAAAACACACCTCTAAAAGCGCTGCGATTATTGTTACTTCTTATACAGAAACATATCATTATCACAAACTCAATTGTAGCTACTGAAATGCATATGTATTTGCACGAATGCATAATTATATCATTTAGAGATTCACATACTCTACATTTCCTAAATAAAATCTCATTTACCGATCAACTGCCTAATTGCACTATATATTAATAAATAGCCATTCTTTTATGTTACTTATATGTGAAAATGCAATTTTTAGGTATAAATAAATTCAGATAAAAACCTAGACCTATTGCATTAAGTGACAATGGCCAATATTTATAGATATATAACTGCTTTCAGATGGTAGGGCATGCTATAAGGCTCCCGTATAATCCTCGAACTCCTCTTCTTCATTATTCTTAGAGAATAGGTTTCCTTGCATCATATTTATTTTTAAATTAGCAGTTAAAGTCAACAAATATATATATATATATGTAATCAATTAAAAAGCGATTTTTTTATACATCACGTAACCACACGAATACTTTGTGGGTATGCCAAAGATTTATTATTTTTAGTCTGTGAAAAGTGGATACCACAACCTATATGTAATATAGTTTGTACAATTCACTTTTTCAGAGTCGCAAATGTGATAAGCCTGTTGCAATATATGGAATACAAATGTGAGATGCACTACACAAAAATCCGAAAAGGAGATAACTTAACGGTGCATGCCATAGGGATTATATAACCCTCTAAAGATTGATGTCCTAGTTCCAAAATTACCGCTAATCTCGTTTATATAATTTATTATGCTCCATTAAATATAAGCTGATTAATTTAAGTGTTCAAAGAACACAATAGAAACATTATCTTTTAGTTATTCATGTTGAATTTAACTGCCATTCTAGTTTTCTTTGCATCGCATATCATATATTAGCACTCAGCACAGCCATTTACACTCTGGTTATCTTCAACTAATAGTTGTGCTACTTTATAGCTTCGATAGACTTAATTACTATATAAAATAACGTCATAAGTCGTGATAGGCATGTGCGTAACTGCAGATTGAAAGTACAAAAATGATAATTTTTCACCATCTTTCTTTCCTTGTTTTGTGTACAAATAAATTAATAATGCGAAAAATATATTCGAACACCTCCATAAAATGGCCACGTTAATATATCACCATCATGTACCAAATATATCTAATTTGTTTTTTAACTCTTAAATAAATATTTTGAAGTAATGGTCATTACATAGCTATGAACAAATTAAATTGTTTATTTTAACAACACATTGCCATTAATAACAGTTAACAACATGTCTAGTTAACCCATAAACTGATTTGAATATAAATACAGGGAGATTCATCTAGTAGGGGGTCGTCCTACATTGCGATGGCCAGTACGAGGCTGCCACTCGAGAACGTTTTTCCCCCAACGGTTATCGGTTCTACGAGCTATATGGCCGATCCATCGCCACTTCAGCTTGCTAATCCTCTGAGCTATGTCGGTTACCTTGTTTCTACTGCGGATGTCTTCGTTACGAACTCAATAACGCAGAGAAATACCGAGCATAGCCCGCTCCATAGCTCGCTGAGCGACTTTGAGCATCCTCATACGGCCAGTGAAGGACCACGTCTCGGTTCCGTAGGTCATCACTGGCAACACACATTGATTGAAAACTTTAGTCTTCAAACATTGAGGTATATTTGACGAGAAGATTTGATCGCGGTGTACGACGACCACCCAATAGATGGAGTGTCGACCTGTGCAAATGTGCGGGAAGTCGATGGATCCAGGTGGCTCAGGATCGTGGCGAACATAGGCCTCCCCATAGGCTTCGTGGCAGTCTATGGGGAGGCCTATGTTCAGCAGTGTACTCATTACAGGCTGAAATGATGATGATCATGACAGGGAGATTTTGAGAAGTGCCCAAATTTACACAGGAGGTTCAGAGTCCGTAGTATAATCGTTTATTGAATTAAAAAACAAACTTTTTTTTTTTTAAAAAAAATGCCATTCTATTAAACAAAAAACATCCTAAAAAACAGAACTCGTTGACAATGCGGTAGTCATTCATAAATACCTTAATTTTACCATGCACGAACTTGTGTGCGTGTTAGTTATGAATGATCGCGCGTAAAACAGAGTTGCGTATAAAACAGGAACTTTTTGAGATAAGTTCAAATGAATGTAATTAATTACTTACCGAGTGATTTTAAATATTTATCTTTTTTTATATAACATTATTTATGTCTAGAATTTTAAAAAATAGATACACTTAGAAAAACCTCCCTGTATATAAAGATAAATATTTATAGGCAGAATAAAATTTGATTTTAACACTCAATTTTGCAAAACTCACTTCAACTCAATTTTACTCGCCTCCAACGAAATAAAACATTGAAGTGAAAATTAAATAATATTAAGCCTCGAGAGAATCTTTTTTGTAAATAAACCTAACATTTTCAAATTTGTCTTGGCTGATATGGGTTAACTGGAGCGACGGTAACTGTATTATCACAATTGAGCAGTCAAACAGACCGCGGACTTCTTAATCATATGGAATACTGTATCAGCAAATGTACAATATATTATTGTTATAAAGCAAAAAGCAACAAATTAAATATAATGAAAAAACCACCCAAGGCTATGCCAATGACGGGCGGAATACAAAACTACATCAAAATCTGTTAATTTAGGATTTTATCATAGTTTTTAATACTAAACCTGCTTCGGTCTTAGGCCGATTTTCACGTGTTTTGTGTTCGGTTCCAAGGACGCCGTTTCATTAGTCGACATACAATGCCGGGGTCAGATATACATAGCTTTAAGGCGTACCTTTTGAGTCGACCATTGGGAAACTAGTTCATCCAGTTGGGGCGGCGTAGCCCTGCTTTTGCTAAATCTCTAGAGGACTAGGAAGTGGGGAGGGGGGGAACGACGTCATCGTCGACCAATGAAGAGGCGCAGCTAGGGCTTTGTTTTGTCGAGGGGGTCGCGGTATATGATGGTCGCGGACTTGATGAGGTCCGGCTCGTCGTGGCCGGCGGGGCGGTCGTCCCGGAGCGCCTCGCCCTTGGGCGGGCACTTGTTGTGCGCCATCAGCAGCCCGCCCACCAGGCCCACCAGCGCGCGGTCCAGCCACGTCACCGGGTTGGCGTACACCAGCCCGCCCTCGTAGAAGCCCAGGTGGCCCCCGTGGGCGAGCTCTAGGTACATCGCCTTGTCGTGCGAACCTGATGGGTGAACATTTATAATGACAAGCAGCCACACGACATTGATAGAATTTTTTTTCTACTTTTAAACTCTTAGTACCGGTCTCTGCACTTAAGGTGTAACTTGAAAATGTGCAGATAAAACGTTCGCTGCTGCCAAGTTAAGCGGTCGACATCCTCATCGCGCGGAATCCGAAAGGCGCAGGTTCGAATCCTATTAGATGCGAATAATTTAAGCGACAGTTTAACCTGTACAGATTTAAGTTGCTTATTAAAGTTCCTTTTAGCTGCTTTTCAGTCGCCGCGATAAGCGGCTCTGAACCATCTGTGTAGCTGTAGTGTATGGTTATAGTCTAAACTCAGATATTTTTTTTAATATTTGCCTTGCTTCAAGCTCTGATGGACATCTAAAACTTATATCCATTTATAGATTTGGTTGTGTGCAGAGAGGAACTGTCAGGAAAAAGGTTGAAAGGTCTGTTAACAATTTAAGTTAATCTGTTAACATTTTAAGCCATCAAAGTTATGATACGTGTGCGTGATATGCGATTTTCGCTGATGAAATGTTTGTTTTTAAAAGATGATTATTGTAATAAAATTCAAATAATGTTTCTTTTGTTTTTATGTCTTATTATAATTGTTTGTTTTGTTATTAAATTGTCAGTTTAAGCCAAAATTGGTGCAAGGAGCGATCGGTAGCGGATATAAACAATTGCAGTTCAATGTTCCGTATATCATTACTGGACGACCCCAACGCGGCAACGGGTGGAAGTGGCCTATTTATAAAAGCGGGACATAGGAGTCAGCTCTGTACTTACTAACGAATTCCCTTGCTACCGGCAGCAGTTGTTCAGGAACGATTGGATCGTCCCGCGCGTTTATAAATATCATTGGCGTCTTTATATTGTCCAGGTAGAAGGCGGAGGAACTCCATTTGTATAAGTCTGTCACCGACTCGAAACCATGCACTCTTCTGTAAATTTCAGATGTAGTTTATCAAAAATGTGCGTTTAAATTATTGTCAAAGTAATGGCCATTATCAACAAACAAACAAAGTTATCCATAGACAAACAAAGATAATAAAGTAATTGTCGTGTTTTATATAAAGCCGTCAGAATATCGACCTTGAATATGCTTCATCTAAGTCTGGCAAAGTTCCCGCGGACACTATCATGTTCTCGTCCAAGGAGTATCTGCTTCTCATTTCGGGGCTTAGGAGCATCCTTTTGTGCCTCGTGATGATGTTGCGATAGTTGTCCGTCATTATGTACAGGTAGAAGCGACGGAAGTTTTGCCATTGTAGGAGATGGACCATGGTGCTGAAATTATTTAGTAATTAAAATAACTATGTTTTGTACAGAGTCTACGTCCAGGTGTGTCGAGGTATGAAAAAGCATTGGATATCAATTATAATGTTTCAAAGTTTGCATTAAGTGTAATGACCGTGATGATATAACTAAGATCATGCTACGACAAAATTTGAGCAATTTTATCGTAGCATGATCTTTAAGGTTTAATGTGACGCTGAAAGGGTAAACCGACACCGAATTCCTATTTCTATATTATTAATTCGACATAATAGGTACTAAAAATAATCTAAAAACAAAACATAGGTCAAACCATAACCTATTTGCTTATAAAAACTCGCGTTCGCCGCGATGTGAACATTATTGAAAACTAGCGACCCGGCCCGGCTTCGCACGGGTTTAATGTAATATTACATGTATATAAAACCTTCCTCATGAATCACTCTATCTAGTTAAAAAAACACATCTAGATCCGTTGCGTAGTTTTAAAGATTTATGTATACATGGGGACAGACAGACAACTGGACGACTCTGTTTTATACTATGTAGTCATTGATTTTTTTTTATTTATGCTTTATTGCTAACCTTAAGAATAGAAAGGTAACAAAGGACAGGCTTAATGCCCAAAGGAATTCTCTACCAGTCAGCCCAGTATGTAGTGAAAGTTTATGGTAGGTGCAGCAAGGGATATAAAAATTACATAAATTAATAATAATATAAAATAAAATAAATTTTGATACATAATTATAATAAATAGAAAAATAACATTTTTTGATTATACTAAAGGTGCAAATAAAAATATATAATTATATGCGTAGAGAGATATACATATTTTAATTAAGTTACGTTCAAGTCTATGGTACATAATTATCATTTAAATTGTTTTTTAACTAAGGTGACAGTTCATCACTTCTCGATGATTGCATAGAACTCCGTTTATTTTATCTCTGACCCCCACCAAAGTTGAATACTAGACCCCTTTAAGAGATAACTGCTCCAAGTAAATTTTACATAAATATTTATTATAAAACATTATTTTTCCAAAATATGTTTATGCGAAAATGAGTAAATGTCTGTAAGACAGTCGCCAAGTAACTGATTTGGATATGATCAATACCTTATTGAAGCCAATTAAAGTGTTCGTGCAATTAAAAAAGCCTGAAGCCGCGAAGAGATGGCAATCGAAACATGTGTATTATTATTTATTACAAAGTATCGATTTTCGTTCACCTGTCTAGGTCGAAAGCGTTAAACCTTGAAGTTTATTAAAACAAGTAGTTCGTTATACACGTTGAACTTTATAATAGCGGTTGATACAATAATTTAGATCCGAAATTAATGTTTTAAAATAGCGAACGAAATTGTTAAATACGAATAGAATAAAGCCTTTTTAAACAAAATACTTGCGAACCTTTTAAACCTACCAACCAAAACCTTATGTAAAATGAGCCTTTTATGATACATGATTAGAGATTGCAGGACTAAAGGTAGAAATAACATTTATTTTTTCATTCGTAAATTACATTCTCTCCCAGGTTTAGTTTCTATATTTTAACAAATATTTTTTTTAACGAGCAACACGCATCTCTTTCTTTATTTATTACTGGATTTAGTGAACAGATACTTTTTTAAAAACATCTGTTGCAAAACAATAAAGATATAGAAACAATGCGAATTCCTTGTCGTAATTTAAATTATTCTCGTAGTTAAGAATGCATGTTAAGAGCTATCGTCCAATTTTTTATAAAGCAAACACGACGCACGGTCAATGCCTCGTGATTTCAAAGTTCCTGACAGATTAGTAATAGTTATTACTCGAGAATCGCATATTTCTATTATACATGTGGTACATCGATGTCTGTAATCTGAGTAGTAAAATAACACGAACGTATCGAATGAGATTATGTAAATACGCGTGCGTATTCATTATTTATAATCGACCTTACGATAATAAGTTATTGGACGAATTTTTTGCGAAAGAGCATTTTTAAATATTTCGACATAAGTATGCGTAGGTATTACGAAACGTAGTTTTTTATATATATGTTAGGCAAAAAACAATATTTATTATACACATGTTTTGTTCGATACGGTCAATTTACTGATTAATAATGTTAAACTGAAAACATAATTATAAAAATGAAGACCTAAACGCTCTTAAGACAACTTGTGACAATCGCAATCTGCATAATAATATATAGTAGATAAGCGTCAAGTTAATTTATGAAATAGCTGATAGCGTCATAACTATTCTTATCGATACCTAAAAGAACTCGTTAAACGAAATATACTAATTGGTTAGTTACAAAAAACACTTTTTAGTCACACTTACTCGATAGCATTGTAGCCTTGGCAGATTGAAATGCCTCCTATTATATTTTGAGGTCTCTTCCTGTCCTCGCCGAGGTACTTTGAAATCAAATTACCTCCTAGACTGAATCCGACTAGAATCAACTTTGTGTTTGGGTAACGCTCTAGTAAATTATCTACCATATAAGCGAAGTCATCAGTGTGACCTGAAAATGTTATAATTACATTTAAAAAAACGGCCATCTTAATGTACCGTTATCATTCTGATGACTAAGGGCAAGGAACTTTGGATAACTCTTAACCTTCTTCGAGTCAAGGCGTGTATTTAGATATAGGTTGTTTTATTTCATTGTGAATTTACTCACTGCTTTGATTCTTTAAAACAAATGCGTTTACATACGATTTAAATTAATTTACATTTGAAAACTTTAGTTATCAATGCAATGTGCGCATGAATGAATGCTCCAAAAACGTGAATTTAATGTATGTAAAATATTTGAATTTGTTAGAACAGAAGCATTGTTTATACAAAATTTGATGAACAAAACTTAAATAAACAATTGTGTAATGTGAGCGGACACTGTCCAAGCTGTATGCCTTGACATTGATAAGATTTGGGTGAGTTGAAGGGGGAGAAGGTTGTTCAAAAAACCTTGACTACTTAACATAGGTAACTTATTATATTGAAATAATTATTGGGAGGGATGTAAATTGACGACAAAAAAATGGATAGTGAAGCTATCTCTTGCGCCAGAGGATGTGGGTTCGATCCACTACTGGAAAAATATTGTGTGAAGAGCATAACGTTTTGCCAGTGTTTAGGTGTTTTTAAATCTATTATGTGTTTTTTTACAAAAAAAAAACAATATAAACTAATAAGAATGGTTATCAATCACCAAGTAGTGCCCACAGTACCAACTTTAGGACTAGACAACGTTGTGTGAAATTATGTCCCGAAATATTAATTTACTTCTGAATTAAAGGATGGAATGCAATTCCTCATTTTCCGATCCTATAATAATATTGCGTAACAATCGTTAGCAGACACCGTCACAATCGCACGTGGTGTCTCCGCGTAAAGGCCCATTTACACGGTGCAAGTTTCTTGCCTGTTATATACAATTAAATTGAAGCAATAAATGAGTTGCATTGTCTAAACAGCACATAACATTCTTGACTGTTGAACAAGACTTGCTTCAAGTTTTGTTTCAAAACTTTCCTTGGTGTAAACAGCACACACAATAATTTCTTAAGCAATTCTTGTATTCAATTGCATTCTCTCTTCCTTTGCAAAAATTAGTGCAATGAGTGACGGTATTTAATCATTGCTGTTCTTTTGAGGATAGAAATATTGAGAAAAGGTCGTAAAAAAAGTTTGGATAAAATTATGAATAATAATATATGGATCATAATAAATAAATCTCAATGAAATATATTTAATCGGCATAATCTAACTTGAACACTTATTATTGAGCCATTTTTAAAAAAAAAACAGCCATTTGTAAAACGTTCAACACTTGCATGAAAAATTTGTCAACGCAAATACGTGCAATACTTGAAGCAACAGGCCAATAAATTGTACACGCACATACAAGCATGTGTTTAGACAAGTCAAAACTTGAAAGCAATAATCGCCTAAACATAATTGCATTGGTGTAAACAAAAGACCTTTGCAATTATTTCCTGTCAAGACTTGCATTCAATAATCGCATTCAATTTTTTTTACTATATCTGCGTGTAAACTGTTGCTTACAATTCTTGATGGTCAATTATTGCGTGCAACTTATTGCATTCAATTATTGCTCTTGTATGTACAAGAAAATGGCATCGTGTAAATGGGCCTTTACATATGAAGTGCTAATCGCACGGTATCGCCGTGAACCGACCACATTTCGCGTTCCGATTCAAGGTCATTCGGACGCCGCGACTGTATCGCACCGGGCTCCCGACGCCCGCAATGACATAAGACAATGAGTCACCGTAGGAGAATATCCGGGCGCCGGTGACGGGTACGCTGTTCAGCGCGCCGATGTGGTTCAGCACAGCGCACCTGTAGCCGTGGCACTGCGAGTAGTGCACGTAGGTGCGTATGTAGACGCTCTCCGAGGTGTTGCCGATGCCGGGGCATATCGCCACGGTGACGTCATCTGCCCCATATAAACAACAGCGGTCGGTCATCGCGCGCCGCGGTTTAATCATGCTTAATTTTAAACATGACAGCTACCGCTCGAGCAATCATACTTTGGACAGCTAAAATTTTTATTGAATGACCGACAGTGCAATGATGAAGTATTTTGATGCAATTGCAATGCTATCATTGAGGTGTTCTAGAAGGAACATATGTAGAACTAAATTAAATTAATATAGATTCAAGTTCACTTAGATAAAATTTTTATTTCGTATTGATAAGATAATATTTGCATGAAATTGAAGTAACTATATATAGGTTTAAATATGTATATGTTGACTAGTAAATGACTATGTCACAATTGGTAGGTTTAAATTAAGCTTTGCTTACCTTCACGTTCAGATCCCACTGGTTCATAAAGATCATATGTAAGCGTAGATCTGTCAGGGAGAATCAAAGAGATCCTACCGCCAATCGGCCAAGGGCATCTAACGCGGCCAATCAGACTGTGAAGTATTGTCTGAACATGGCCACTGAAACCCCACAATCGGGTTGGTGTGTAGCTACAAGACAAAAACCAATATTAAGATAATAAAAAATGATTTCTTGAATTCATAACACCTCAAAAGATAAAAATAGTTTTTTATAGTACTGTTATATCTAATATATAAAATTCTCGTGTCACAGTGTTTGTAATTGAACTCCGATTTTCATGAAATTTTGTGTGCGTATCGGCCAGAGTGGAGAATCAGACAACATCTATTTATAATCCCCCTAAAAGTTAAGGGTGGTCCACCCCAAACATTTTTTCTACCCTACAAATAATTTATATGGCAAAACAACATTTGCCGGGTCATCAGCTAGTTATGTATATAGTTTAACCATGACATTGTTTTTGATAGACCACAAATACATTATTTAGAAAAGTGATTCAAATAATTGATTCATTCAATTGTTCAAAGCAGGATTAGTGAGACTATTAACAGTGTGAACACTCTTATTTTCACTAAGATGTATACTTATTTCTAAGCAGTTCTCATCCATTAACAAAACTGCCAAACGCAAACCATTTTAATTATGCTTCTTGATATCCAGCAAAGATCTGCAATTCCAAGTGCAATGTGAATAGGAATGTAACAAGAATATTCCCTTTTCTCCAATAATATTTTTCTATAAGTATATTAGTTAACAAGATGCACGTTAGTACCTTTAAAACAACCATGCCAATTGAGTTTTAAATAATAATATTGATGGCTATGTTAGAATCTCACCTACATATGAAATAATGAAATTGTAATAAATATCTCAGTAAAATTAGTTAGATAATTTAAAGGTCAGTTGATATTAGGACTTAAAAGAACACATCTTCAGAATTGAGGTAATCTTTTAAAGTTTTGGTACATGGCATATAACTAAAATAATAAATGAAAACCTTTCTATGTTCAGAATTACACAAATGTTGTCAATATTTAAAATTATATAATAAGTCAGTTGCATAGAATAAATTCAACAGGGTATACAATTTTAGGAAGATTGGACTTGGCCTTGAATTGTTTTAAAGACTTAAAACTGTTAGTTTTGATTTTGTGTCAATCGCGTTTTTTCAATGCAAACCTTTTCTGTTAATTCAAAATAATTATATGAACAGTAAATTTTTTAAAACACATGGAATTAACAGGGCAAGTATCACTTGTTTATAAAACATTATGCAACATTTTATTTTTGTAAATTGTATAATAATAATATAGGTCGCTGAAGATAAATTACTTACGGTTCGCTTAGGAAAGGTGCTATGAATAATATGTTTTCAATGAAATTTCTGTCCCTGCCGTATATGACAGGCTTATGAGGTTGGCTATTAACATTTAATATTCGAAAAAGAATGCACAATATAACTGCAACAACGGCTAAGAGAACTGTCGACATTGTAATTTGACTATAATTGTTACTGAAAAATTTATAAATTACTATCTACATAATACTAGAATAATTTCAGGGCCGATGTTGTTATAACACGCAAAATCATACCGGACACTAAGAACACTCGTACTTAACTAATAATCTAATATTTACTATACTAAGTTGGATTAACGACACTCGACAGTCTCTTCTCTGCTCTCCAAATTGATATCCTACACCAAATCAACAAAACAATCTTTCAAGTTCTAGACGTTTTGGTTTAGTATTGGTAATGGTAATCTAATAGAATAGATTAAAAAATATTATTCGCAAATCTTATCTGTTACTTTCAGTGTAACCAACTGTTAAAAAAAATCCTCCTAAAGCAATTCTAAAACCCACTAAAATTCAATAAATTCAAACCAAAACTTCCTAAATGACAAACAATTAGGAAGAGAAAAATAAATGAAATTAAATGAGAAACAATTAGGAAGTTTTGGTTTTAATTTACATCCTAAAAAACTTCCATTGTAATTTTTTTCTTCCTCAATTTAGGAAGAAAATTCCTAAGTTGGCATCCGTGGTTACTCTATGGTTGGTTACTTGACTAAAGGGGGCCTTTAGTGTAACCAAGTTATTTCACAAATTTTATGTCACAAAAAGTACAAAAAGTAAATAGGTCGTTCATGGGGCAAGGTGTGCGCATGTATAATAAAATCCCACAGTCATATTAAGTCTGCCGCTTGATCAATTTAAACGTAAAATCAAAAGTCAACTTATGGTTAAAGCATATTACACTATTGTAGAATATTTCGACGACGCCATTGCGTGGAGTTAATACTGTTGATACTCACGTAGGGTAGAATAAGACTATTATACCGGTATTTTATATTGTAAACTAATATTTTTGAAAAAGAGCAACTGTTAAGTTTCTTACCGGTCTCTTCTCAACAGAAACTGCTTTCCGAACCGGTGGTACCTTACGAACCTATATGTATAATTATTTAAGTAAAATTTGACAATTCATAAGAACGCGCAAGCGTCTATTTGAATAATTTTTGATTGATTGAGTATCCTGCCGGACAGTCCGCCGCATTAAACAGGATTGTGAATGGTGTTGCAGCCAGCACGAAGTTGGGCTACACCGAGGTAAGGGACCTGTAAGCTCCAACCACCGCTTGCAGTAGGCCGCACAGGAGACCAGGAGTAGTACTCTCAGCTCTCGTCGCTGCTCCCGTCCAGCTGGGCACTCCTTCAGTGCGTGTTGGGTCGTCTCCTCGGCACATACGGCGCAGTGGTGGCAAACTGCTGTTGGCTTCCCTCCCCGCCAAGCGGCACAGATACCTCCCGAAACAGCCATGTCCCGAGAGAACCTGCGTCACCCGGTAGGTTAGGGTGCCGTGACGCCTTTCCAGCCACCGACTGAGTATCGGACGTATGGTCTCTATGGTTGTTAGGCCGGCACTGGGGTGCTCCAACCTCTGCTCCCAATCGGCAACAGCGAGTGAGCGCAACCTTCCTCTACACCCCCTCAGCTCCTTTAAGGCCGGCAGGTGGCCTCGGGCTGTCGCCTCCTCGCGCCAGAAGTGCAGTAACGCGAGGATACTGGCTTCTAAGTCCCAGGGAAGGGATCCTGCCAGCGCGCACGCCGAGTCACCGGATATTGTCCGGTATCCCCGTATGGCCCGTATAGCTAATACCCTCGGCGGTCTGCGCAGAAGCACCATGGTCCGGCGATTCAGGGTGTCAGCCCTATACGGTGCTCCCGTGATGGAGAGATGCAACATCAAACCTAACGAACGAATAGGTACAGATTGAAGTCGGGTTTAGTCGGGATCGCTCGGTCAGCATCGGAAACGAAATTACGCGAATGAAAAACCGCGTTGAAAGTTTATTTTGATTAACGTAACACAAAAGCAAAATTATATGCGATCGTCAGCTACTCTAATCAGCTACAGATAGTGAATGGGCCCCTTAAGGACCAATCAAAGATAAACGGATTAAAGACGACTGCGCTCACTAAAAATATATAAATATAAAACTGGATGTATTAAATAAAACTAGTTTACGGATTTTATCGCGTTTTTATTTTGATTTTGAAATTCCCGAGGGTTCAAACCCTTTCCAGCGTTCATGGCCACGGGACAAATTAACTTATTACACGTCTTGATGTCATAGTGAACTCCGGCTATCGTAAATTTTTTGTTGTTTATTTTTATTTAGATCTACACAAAATGAGCTTATGGAATCATGAGGTCTAGCAGTGTTGGTGTGCTTGGATTTAATGTTATAAATTATGAGATCCCAAGCAGATGATAAACCCCAACCATGTTCTCTGTTGAAATTAGGATGTTTCTTTATTTCAATAGTCGGATCATCCCTGGAAGGAATCGGTGTTCTTTTGCCAGGATTTTCGGCTGATCAAATTTAATTCAGTGGTGGGGGCGGTCTTAAATGATCAAAGACTTCTTCAACCGTCGGTGCTCCACTTCATCTATGTGTTCTTTTAATCCTGTTTTTAATTGACCTTTTAGTTTGTCCTATATAAGAGAGCCAACATACCCAGTCAAGCTTGTAGACTCCTGGATCTTGTTAAGGGATTACTCTTGACAGATGGTAAAAAATTGACTTATCTTCTTAGGTGGCTTGAAATGGGATTTAATTGTAGTACGCTTCAAGGTATAGCCAATCTTGTCAGTGACACCTCTGACATATGGCAATATAAACAGGCACTCGCTCAACTGTGGCTGGTCTTTTTAGATGTTTTAGTCATCCGAAATCTTAACAACACCTTGAGCCATACTGTGTATAGAAAGGAAACCCATACAAATAAATATTTAAATGGTGATTCTCACCACCATCCCTCACAGTTAGCTACTGTTGGTACATGTTTCTTATAGAGAGCACGAGGTATTTGCGACAAGGAACACCTGGCTGCTGAGCTACACAAAGTCAAGCAAGTTTATTTTTTATTTATTTATTTATAATTTATGTACAAAGAGTTATGGCAGAGATGTAAATAGATGAAATAATTTGTACAAAGGTCCTGCTTATTTCATAAGAAATTTCTTCCAGCAGACCTGTGACTGGAAATTGGTTACAGATGGTAGTTAATTGTGTACATACATCAATTAAAATACACGTATATGCAATAATTATAAATATGATATCATTACTAAAATAAAATATATATAAATACATAAATACACATACATAAATACATACATATACATACATAAATAAGTAAATAAATATATAAATATATATGTCGCATTTATACTGCCAAGGAAAGGTAGTGATCCTTAACTCTTTTCTTAAAAATCGATATAGTTTTAGATTCCCTGATTATCGGTGGGAGTGAGTTCCATAATCGAACTGCATGAACAGTAAAGGAATCGGAATATGAAGAGCTTTTATGGGGAGGGAATTTAAGGAGGGTTTTAAGATGGGAACGGCAAGGAGCGTGCGGTGGACGAGCGAAAGCAAATCGCTCACGCAGGTAAGATGGTGAAGTAGGGCAATACAGGATATTAAAAAGCAGACATAAAATCCTAGTGTTCCTTCGAAATCGTATTGGGAGCCACTTGAGATCCTTGCGAAGATGAGAGACGTGATCAAATTTACGAAGTCCAAAGATAAAGCGTATACATAGATTTTGCAAGCGCTCAAGCTTATTTAGAAGCTCCTCAGTAGCATCCAGGTAACAGGCGTCAGCGTAGGTTATGATGGGTTGGATGAGCATTTGGGCCAGAGAGATTTTAGTCTTTAAGGGCAATACACCCTGGAGGCATTTAAGAGCATGAAAAGAATAGTGAACTTTTCGACTAATTTCACTTACATGTGCACGCCAGGAAAGATTAGATGATATTATTATCCCCAGATCCTTGACAGTTTCAGTGTAAGGTATGGGTATATCGCATAACTTTACGGGGGGTATAGTAGAGAAATTGATCGAGTTTCTTGCATACCTAGTACCGATAATTTCCGCCTGTGATTTAGTGGCATTAAGCGTGAGTCCAAATGATTTCGACCAAGAGATTATTCGGTTTAAATCTTCGTTAACAGTAGCAATAGCTAAATCTACTTGTGCTGGAGGAAAATGATGATAAAGCTGCAAATCGTCTGCATAGAGGTGAAAATTGGAAGAAATAACTGTTGTGACTAAGTTAATAAAAATAGAAAAAAGTAAAGGAGAGAGAACGCCACCCTGAGGCACACCCGCGCTTAGTTCACAAGAGTTAGAGAATGAATTTTCTATGCGAATGTTCTATGCAAGTTCTGCATGACAACAAGCTCCGAATCTCGCGCCTGCGTCACAGTGACCGAGTGAAACCAGCGTAAAATCAAGAAGTCAATACAAAACGGATGCATAAGATTTACGGTGCATTTCAAGTAAGTGCCGGATTAACCATGTAGCAAGAGTATCAATGGCTACGGGCCCCGCGCTAAAGGAGGCCCCGCATATTAAAATCAACTCATCTCTGCCTGAGCCTTAATTTTGTGAGTGAAACTTATTAAATAAGTAAATTGTTCTTTCACCAATTTATACTTAAGAACCGATAGCCTGTTTGAAAGAATTTGCTATGGGCCCCGCGCTTGTTTAATTCTGCACTGTTTCAAGTATTATAGATTATGGATGCTTAGCGTAGATAGTGAGGACAGAGGCGTTTATACCTTTCTGATTTTAACACGAAACAAACTTTAGTAGCTTCAAAAAAAAGTGATAACAGGACCGCAGAGTTTCTTGCCGGTTCTTCTCTGTGCAGATCTAGTTTAGTGAACTGGTGGTAGATTTTTTGACGTTCCAGCTTTATTTAAGCCCAACCCACTAACACAAAAACACTACACACCTAATTTTAGACAATGGTATATAAAATAACTTACTTATGACCCCGTGGCGCAGGTGACAAGGTAATGGCTTCAGCGCTGGGGGTAGAGGATTCAGTCCAGAAACATCTTGCGAATTACCGTGGATGCCCCAAAGCGTCACTTAGGTGGCAACCGATTTCCAACGATCAAAGAAGGGT